ATGTCAAGATGCTCTTTAGCCAAATGGATGAATGAAGTTCACACAAAAATCCAGGACCTCTTATCTTAAACCTCATTGTTTGAATCATAAATTATAGTCTCACCATATTTCTTGATTACAAATGTTAATCATTTAGTGTACAAAACACTAAAACCAAGAGTCTTTTTACCAGAAAGTCAATGAAAAGTTTGTATGAAGATTCAATGATGTAGTGAACGAGAGCTCAGGTGAGGGAAGTCCAATTCATTGTTTAATACAAATCACAGAAAGTCTTCGTAAAGATATGAAAATCATACATTAAATGCTTCATTTGCACTTCTTACAAACTTTATCTTTCCTTCATTCCTGTCTTCATTATAAGTACTCTCTGTTGACATTCCTGTTCTCTTCAATTCGATCTTCTCAAACTTCTTCAGACGGACATTCCAATTCTGACCAATGTTATATACTACTTATATCTGTCAACATAATGAACATACAACACAGATATATCATACAAGTTTTCAAAGGTTTATATTCGATTCTTATCATTGTGAATCACATTGTCAATCATTAATGAAAAGTTCAAGTCTTGTAACAAGTTCCAAACTCATCGATAGTTTAACTTAACGCTGTTTATCACTCTATGATCAATAATTATCAGTCACTCACTTATTCAGTAATTTAGATTGAGGCCAAGTATCAGGCCAAGTAATATATATCTAAACTAGACAAAGACATCAATTCTCTGAAGATTAAAAATGTTTAATACTGAAATGCGTTAACTTGAACAAAATATAAGTACAAAGCCTCTTATCAAATGGCTCTAATTACTCAATGGTTTAAAGAGAGCAAAAACGAAGATTGATGCAGAACCATATGGATTCATTTTATTTCATTAGCTTCTCATCAGCTGCGGCGAGACTGTAATTCATGAACGACCTTTGAATGAATCTTAAGTGACCTCCAACACAAATAACATCTCATCAAGGTAGTCTGAATATAGTACAGCAGTCATCTGATTACTACAGTAACAAATAAAGGAACTTCTTAGTAATCCCGTTGGTTGTTATCACGTTTTCTCTAAAATCAGCTGTAAATCGATCGTACGTGAGCATTGGGTACTGAAGTTGACCTTCCTTTCTAGTCCTATACAATTGCTGGTCATTCTTCTCATGTCTGTCTGTCTCCATTTCTAGGCGTAATGTATTCATTGGCCTTCCTCTCTTCCTTTTGCCTTCAGGATTCACAATGAAGCTTGGCTTGTGACGCAGTTGGGTGCATTCCTCAATGTGTGTCCTATCCAGTTGCATCGCTTCTTCCTGATTTCATATCCTGTGTCAAGGAGATATCTTAAGATTGCACTACTGAATACTTTTAATCCATTTGACCTTAAACTTTTCAGAATATGCTCATTGAATAGAACGTAGGTTTTCCTTTCCATTCTACCAATATAACTGCTTTGGCAGATACATGTCAATTTGTATTTACAGTTAATGGTAACATGAAAGATATAGCTATAGACATTTGATTATATTAAAGAATATGTTGTTTTGGATAGGACAATCAGTTTAATATGCTTCTGTGGATGTCTAATCTTCTCTTGAATGAGTCAATTGAAGGTGTGGACAACATTGTACATAATATTTCTAAGAATAATACTTTCAACAATAATTTTCCATTAATTTATGTTTACAAATTACAGAAAGTTTGACCATAATTATCTACTTATGTTAATGGTACTTTCTTTTTGGTAGGTAAATGTTAGACATGTTTGATGAACGAGATGACATGTTATGGACGACCTTTGAGCGACGCTAGAATGACTTTGAGAGTGTCGGCTTAGTAACCAGGACCAAATGAAAGTTATAAACCAATGTGGTGGATTAGAATGACAATTTATGGTAGATGATTAAGGTTAGAAATTAGATTTAGGGTTTTCATCATGAACTGACATCAGTTATAATGCCAAAATAGTATTTTGCCAAATGTATGAATGAATTTCGAGCCAAAATTCATGACTCGTTATTTTATATCTGATTGGTTCGTTCATACATTATAGTCTCGTCGTTTGATGATGTTCGTCTTTATCGTTTGTACTTGTTTTTAAGAAAAACATATAAACTTGATAAACAATTCACCTAAATTACACACGGACTTCTCTTTGTGTATCCCTTAGTAAACATACAGGTATATCTACTTTGTGAGACATGCACACCGGTAACATACATGTTTCACCCCATTCATCTCATAGCATGTAGTAAATAGGTATATTCACCCACCTGGGGGAGCAGATGTTCACCATTCCCTTAGAAATTTGTTTTTTACACCAGACTGTCTCTTACAAATTACATGAATATCATTCAACCTTCAGTAGGGCCTTTCATTTTGACATCAGTTAGATCGGACGATGTTATCGATGATCTCACCATTTTAGCAGTCCGACATCTGACTCAAATTGGATTGCATGAATGTTGTTGAAACACACATATCATCGACGTAAATCGCGTTAGTGAATAACAGAATTAAATAAGTCGTATACGAGAATCGCTGTTTGAATACGGATATTTTGTAAAGTCATTGATGTGAATAGACAATTAGATGAAGGAAGCGAAGAGATGAGAGCAGAGCAGAGTGAAATGACGTGTAGTTGAGAAGGGGTGTGTGTCAACTCGATTTAATCAAGCGTACATCAATATACTCATAGTCATATAAAAATATGTTACAGATATATGATGAGTGATGTAAGAAATGTACACACATTTGTTGACATGGAAACATTCAATATTGACAATCGAATATTTAACAAGATCATAATGTACCTTAAGAAGAATGGATAATTGGTCTGTGAGGAAGTTAAAATAAGTTATATGGGCTTTACATGGTAATCGACACTACTAGCCTATGGCTACCACCTCAGTGCTTCCTCATTCGCACATAAGCATAAGTATTTTCTCAAGGAAGGTTATTGTTCACCTAACTCTGGTTTCGCTACCATATCTTCGACCTGTTAGATTAGGTCGCTGATTTTATTAGGCATAGAGCATATAGTATTTCAGCTAACGTTTCATTTGTACGACACCACACTCAAACCGTTTGCATATACCTACATTTATAAACTGCGTAGTCCCGATAACTTCTGCGATTTTTATACATAAGCATACACATCAGGTGGCCCATTGCGGTTAAATGAACCTTGAATTGAAACCCAAATTCATCCAGGATACAACAGAGTGAATGATCAATCTGATCTCTATCGACGTCTAAGTTGGCTAGAAAGCTTACCCCTACTAATCAGCAGCGCTATGAAGTGACCTTAGGTTAGATTTTACTACCGATCAGCTACCATTAAATGAAATAAATACTAATTTTATAATGCTTTCTCAACAAAAACAAACAACACATTATAACCTAAATAAATAAAGTGGAAATTCCCATTTTGCCATTTGGTAAATAAAGAAGGAACGAAATGAGCGAAGAAATTTCTTTTCAGTTAGTTTTTCATCATGGTTCTACACTAATTATACAAGTATGATTTACAATAATGAAACAGTACTCGTCGAGTGGATACGTTACGTAATAATTACATAATGACATTTAAATCAGTGAGGCGATGACAAGAGTTGATTTTATAAAGGAGTGCATAGAAACCAACTTGTATCCAAAATTGTATTGGAATTTTTTACATAGCTCTCAAGTTCGAGGCAGTGAGTAGGACTTTCCTGGTAGAGGCTGTATAAGCGTGGCCGTATGAGAGAATTTCGAGAGGGAGGGCGGGCCGTCCCCACTCTCGGCTATACCAGGGCATTTGGGAGCTTAACATAGTAACCAGTAATACGACATAAGTACTTCATTATTACAACATGATTGTGCCTGAAAATCGGTATGAAATATGTGAAAATAAGATGGTCATTATAGGTAATTCATCTTTTAGCCTGTGTCACCATTGGATACGTAGAAAACACTAATCGCATTTCTCCGGCGTTGAAAGATTTTTGCATTATCCTGCATAATCTCTGAGTTAATATTTCAATAGCCGCATTCCCTTTGAATTATAGGCGCACGATGAATCAGGATCTTTACCAAGTTCCTTTTGTATCTGATTAGAACTGTACTTTGGAAATGAGTGTATTGTCCTGTTACAAACAATAGAATGAAGTAAATACTAATTTTACAATGCTTTCTTTAAAAAAAAACAACATTATAACCCATATAAGGAAACATAATTTCTTTGGATTATTAAATGAAAGTGTTTTAACTTGTGACCTATGTGCTCTGTTAATGTATACGTAATGATACCGCCAATTAGAGAGCAGTGGATTATCGATCGGATCAGTGAAGCATAAAAACCCGTACGAGCAGTCTACAGTCCTCGTTGGTCCTGCTTTCTGCCTAGTCCAACCAGTTAAGTCCAAAACACCAATCTCAGCCTCGCAATGTGAATCGTTTAGTTCAAGCATACTGGGTTTATATACCAACCAGACAGACCACATTGTACCATAAAATAGGAAACAACATTTGTACAGGATTTAGCCAAATGTGGCTGTGAATGAGCGAGGTAGTAATTAATAGACAGGGCATAATTCGAGAATGGTAAATCGTATAATAATAGTTCATAGGTCAAAATAAAGCTCATAATAAGAGGAACATGAATATGAATAGTTTATTTATACGATAAAACATACGTATAATATTTGTCCATAAATAAATCCCAAATTACCACTCATTGTGCTTATCAGGACATAACAGAAAGTCAATGGGATGTTTTCTATTTTCCATTATTCTTTTATTCCGTTTAACTCACACACACAACATGTATTCACAACTTCCGTAGATACATCTTTGTAATGAGTCAACAACAACAACAACAAACAAATAAACAAAACGATTACAGGTTAGTTGTAAATTTCTTTTAGTGATAGATCATATACATAAATTACTCTTAAATTAATCCTATTTTGTCTAAATGTATTCCATCATATTACAGAGTTAGGATTGTACACATACTAAGTTATTACAAGTTATATTCTTACTGATGATGATGATGATGATGATGCTTTGGATGATGATGATGATGATGATGATGATGTTTTGGATGATGATGCTTTGGATGATGATGATAATGATGATGATGATGATGATGATGATGATGATGATGATGATGCTTTGGATGATGATGATAATGATGATGATGATGATGATGATGATGATGATGATGATGATGATGATGATGATGATGATGATGATGATGATGATGCTTTGGATGATGATGATGATGAGAACAAAGTTTGAATACAATTTAACAACGGAATCTAGAAAAGGAGTTTCTTTCTATGATGGGACTTTAACAATTAAGTGTACCTCCACGCTAATGCTCATCTATCTATATATGTATACACACACATACGTACATATATATAAATCTATGGTAATAGAAAATGATAAATGGTAATTATTTAACATCAAAAACAAGAAAATACATAAACCTTTAGAAACATCTGGTTTTCATGATGACAAAACTTCTATGAAAAAAGTTGTCTTGTATCTATGTCGCTTTTTTTTCCCTTTTTTCGTCTTTATTTGTGAAGATGAAGAGTGTTTTTTTTTCTTTTTTGGTTATTCAAAAAAGATCCACATCAATCAACTTATTCAATGTTTTATCTCTTACACTACTGTCTCTAATGTTTATTTAATAAAGTTTTACAATAATAAAATAGGAATTGTATATAATGGTTTTGAATGTTATTAGAGGTATGAGAGTGGTTATCACTTTCCGATTGCATACATTGTGGAAGGGTTCTATTGGAGGTATGTGAAAAGCAAATTGGATTACAGGTAGTCTTAGTGATCTGAGAGCATGACTGCAATGCACAAAGGACAACTGCTTGAGGTTGGTCACAAACGATGTTTTTGTGAGCAATTTTCGTGTTAGCCCCATACTTGTTGAGATCTTACATCCGGGGACGGATATCAGTGCGATAAGGAGAGGTGTGCATTTTTAGGGTCGACCTTTTCTACTCCAACCCCTCCTCGCTGTTATGCTAGTGTCGCGAAGGAAATACCTTACTGCCGTCACACCTCTGTACATTCAGCAGTACGACTTAACCTTCGGACCCTGGGTTTGCTGCCTTTAGTCTTACCGTTCTTCAACCGACCTGTCTGACATGGTAGTACTTTGATGAATGATTGTTGCAGTCAGTATAGCTCGATTGGTTTATCATGATAAGCAAGCCCTACCACCACGTCAAGGTAGTAACAGACAGTAAACACAGTAAAGAAAGCCTATTTGTCTCAAATCAAATATTCCCTCTATTTTTTCATCTATTATCTACTTTTCAGTCTACTTTTTAAAATTAGTATTGAGCTATTCAATCACCAATTTGAAGATCATACTTTCTGTATAAGTCATTGTCATAATATAAGTTCGATTGAAAAGCTGTTGAAAAGCAAGATTTCAGTAGGTATCTATTTCATTATTACTTTAGGACTCACTAACAGTCAAAATTAGGTCTCTTTGTCAGCGTAACCTGAGACTGTTAAGTAATTAATTTGATGATATGAATTTCAAACTCTAGTCTTTAGATATATATTAATCAAATAAAATCCAATGTCATCGATAATATGTCATACTCTCACCGTCACTGAAGTTCATCAGGGACTGTTTCTTTACAGAAATCAAGGAAAGTCAGTATAAAATATTCATCAATTGGCTCAATAATAATGACAACCAATTTTGTAATGGGTAATATATGTTTATATAAGTAGTTATTATTATAGAAGCCTACTATAGGAGAGAACAAACAAGCTTCCAGCTCAAGAGGGAATTAAGAAAAGACGAAGGAAACGGATAGGACGTACATTACGGAAATCAGCAAACTGCATCACGAGATAAGCGCTAGTTTGGAATCCTGAAGGTAGAGAGGAAGGCCAAAGAACACATTACATCGAGAAATAGAATCAGATATGAAAAGGATTGAATATCAACTGGAAAGAACTGGAAAGGATTGTCCAGGACAGGGTTGGCTGATGAATGCTGGTTAGCGACCTATGCTCCTTCACAAGGAGTAACGGACGTCAGTAAATAAGTAATTATGTTTACCAGCTTACACTACATGACATTTTTAGTACAATAGTGAATTTACATTTATGTAAGTTTGTAAACATGTGCCTTGTATTCTCCCACTTCTTCGTCTTCTTCTTCTTCTTCTCTTTTCATTGTATAGTCAATTATTCATTTTTTATTGTTCATTGATATTATCCCTTTTGTTGTTTAAACTGAAGAATTTCTTTTTCTGGCTTTTCTTTCTTCTTTTTTTTTACAAAGGATGGTTTACTTTTGTGTGTGTGTGTGTATGTATGTATGTGTGATTATTTATGTTTCTTCGAGTAGTAAATCAAAATGTATTACAATAGTATCGGCAGCTTTTGTTGTTGTTGCTGTCGCTGCTGAGATCGGAACAGTACTATTACTACCATCACCATCACCACCACCACCCCTACCACTACTACTGCTACTACGACTACTAGTAATAATGTATTGTTGACCAATATTGTATTACATTTCTAAAAAACATAGATGTATTATACAAATACAAGTATAAAGATATATCTAATGTAGAGTATAAATCAAATGTTACCAAGTTCATTCGCCTACCCTATCAGTAATGTTTCCGTTCACAAATTATTAAAACAATGAAATATTTGTTTTTACAAAATAATAAAGAAAGAAAAAACAATACCGGTGAACAAGACTTAATCTTCATTAACAACATGGGAATATGACAGATTACTCTATAATTCTTTCAGATTTTATATAACCATTTATTTGTTTCATGTAAATTTATGTGTATATATATGTGCATGTATGTGTGTATGTTAGTTGCTTGGTTAGTTGGTGGGTGAGTGGTTGGGATGTAGGTACGCTACTTATCGGTCAGTTTTTTTTACTAAACAATAAATATCAGAAGGGGTTTGTGGAGATTGTTAGAAATTTTCACAGATTTAAATCATGAGTCAGTTGAAGCTAGACCACCATTGAAAACCTGGAAGCACTGGACGGCCGTTTCGTCCTAGTGTGGGACTCCTCAGCAGTTGTGAGATATCAGCTCACTGAAGACAATGGTATATGGTGGCGTAACTTCGTGGATTGGTTAAAGTTAGACATTAACACCGTTGGATGCCGGCTCAGTGGTCTAATGGTTAAGTGCTCGCGCGCGAAGCCAGTAGGTCCTGGGTTCGAGCCCCGCGTGGTGCGGGATCGTGGATGCGCACTGCTGAGGAGTCCCACACTAGGACGAAACGGCCGTCCAGTGCTTCCAGGTTTTCAATGGTGGTCTAGCTTCAACTGACTCATGATTTAAATCTGTAAACAATAAATAATCTTGATATTGTTTTACTTGAAACTTCTCATTATTGTTTAGGACTACAATTGATCAATCTGTTATTGATATATGTGCATACTATGTGAATCGTTCCGATAGTGCCATCATTCAAAAGCTTCTTAAGCAAAGAGAATAAGAACAAAGATTCGTGCAGTATAATAAATGAATTGATTTTATTATTTCATTAGGTTCTCATTAGCTGCTTACAACCTAAAATATTTGGAATTCAACATTATTATAGATATTGACATATTTATACAACAGAGAGTGATGAAGGATGAATTAAAGGGATCATGATGTAGTGAAGATTCCGATAGAGTTAATGAGGTCATAAAATTTTGTTTCGAATAAATAAAGTTTGAGAGGGAAAGTTCCGGAACATCCACCATCTCACACTCAAATAGTGATTAGAACTCATGAAAATAGATTAATGGTAATAAAGAGACATATGAATTGAAATCAGTCAGTTATGTATGATGTAATTTAAAACAATTTGAGTAATGATGCAATAAATGAATAAAAAGGGGGTGGTATTGTTACCAGGGTAAAGAAAGATCTATTACTGTCTCTTTTTGTATACATAGATCTGGTTTTAGACGTTTGATTGCTAATGCTTCAGCAAATTTCAAAAGGTTGGATTTTGATTGTTTATTAATCATCTTGAAGGACTTTAGTGCATCGACTTCATACCCTGTGTCAAGGAGATGTCACTGCTGCGATGGCACTGTCACCTTAATTCACAAACTTCTTAAGCAAAGATGGATAGTGCCTAGCGGTGGTATCCAGTTGAATGCGCGTTTTGTCCTATTAATGACTCATCAACTGAATCTACCTGTACAAAAGAGTTGATGTTCATTCCATAGACGATACAAGTAATACAACTCCAAGTGAATATATATATCTTCAAAATTGAATAAATTTGCAAAAAATTTACTAAACCTTTTTAATAATAAATAAGAGATCAAGTTAGGTCCTGTCCTAACTGATATTTTCATGGCTAACCTCGAAAGAACCAAGTTCAAAGGAGCGATTGATGAGGTTTGTTGATGAAACCTTCATCGTAGGCAATAAAATGAATTCATTTATTATTCTGCACCAATCTGCGTAGTTGCTCTCCTCAAGTTAACTCGTTAATAAACTCCAATCATAGTTCGTTTTGTTTTTTTTAATACTTTTCTATCATAATGTATTACAATCAGTCTATTACTTTGTATTAGACTATATGGTAATGCAAACATTGACAGTTGAGAAGAGAGAAAAACAAAAAATTGAAATGGTGTCCAAAAAACGAGTTTATGTAAACATATCACTATGATTACTATTATCATTATCACTATTATTATTATTATTATACTCAATTGAATCATTTCAAATAGCCTAAAGGGATTTCGAATTCAATGAGATACAATTGAATCATTTCAAAAACTAATAATCAAAAACAAACAAACAAACAAATCGAAGAAGAGAAAGAAGAACAAGAACGGTAAGGAGAAATGGGAGGGGAAGAAGAAGTGAAAGGGATAATGTTTAGTACAATTATGTAAATAATTTAATGTTTTTTTCTGATATGTAGGAGTATTTAGAATAAAAATGATTTTTTTCTCTTTTTTTTCGTTTTTTACTTTTTTTTTCCTTTTTTTCGATTTTTTTTTGTTTTTATTTTGCAAATGATGTACATCACCATCCGTGACTAAAAGTGTATATGTTACAATGAATATAAATCAGTTTGCCAAATAAGTGGAATGTACCGCTCGATAAATAGATTCTAATCATTTGAATTGTTGAAATATTATGAGCAAAATGAAACATTTTTCGCAATATAAATGAATATTACTTACTTACTTACTTACTTACTTACTTACTTACTTACTTCAACACTTACTTACTTACTTACTTACTTACTTACTTACTTACTTACTTACTTACTTACTTACTTACTTACTTACTTACTTACTTACTTACTTCAACACTTACTTACTTACTTACTTACTTACTTACTTACTTACTTACTTCAACACTTACTTACTTACTT